GCAGTAGCAGTAGCAGTCGTCGTCCTTCGGGTCGTAGCACTAGCAGGAGTAGCAGTGGCAGTCGTGGCGGCAGCAGTGGTAGCAGCAGTATAAGTCGTAGCAGCAATAAGATAGTAGTCGTGGTCGTAGTCGTCGTCGTAGTAGTCGTCGCCGTCATAGCAGTAGTAGTAGTAGTAGTAGAAGAAGTAGTAGAAGAAGTAGTCGAAGTAGCAGTGATAGGAAGCTGTGCCGACATGCGAAAAGTAAAAACGCCCCAGGATGCTTCAATGTGAAAAGACATCGCTAGACTGCGACAAGCTTGGTAAACAAGCTGCAGGTGCACTCAGCCGACAAGGTCATTGAGGTCCACCAATACATGCTCGAGGATGGGCAGCTCTGCGGGCAGCGTAACAGCCTTCCTGGCCACAGTTTTGACCAGGATGGTCGCAATCCTTAAATACCTTAAACTACTAAACCCTAATTTTTTGTAGGTTCTTATTATAAACCCTAATATGGAATTTTATAGGGACCCTACAAAAAAAAGTAGGTTTTGGTAGGTTAAGGTAGTTCCAGCATCGAGTAGTATCGGCTCTTGGAGCTCCAATGGGGTGCGCTGCTCTCCGCGGCGGTGAACAGATCGTGGCAAGCATTATCTTAGGGTTTAGGGTTTAGGATTTAAGGTTTAGGGTTTAAGGTTTAGGGTTTAGGGCTTTGAGTTTAGGGTTTAGGCATGGTCAGGGGACAGCAAACGTACCGAGATAAACAGTGAGGGAGCTTGCAAGGAGCTCTTGGGGAGTTGGTGGACAAGCATAGCAGACCAACGTTGGTAACACGGCCAGCACGGTCGCAGTCAGTCGAGATTGAATGTCTGAGGGGATGGACCTAGGACATTGGTCAAGAGGGTGTATGGGGGCCCTAATAATTACCTATACTATTTCGGGGGGGTTCTCATCATAGCTATAGCATAGTATACCCCCAAACCCTATTCTAATTATTAAGGCCCCTCCATTATCTGTCGCAGGAGCTGGAGAAAGTGCTTCAGCAGTTCGAATCACTGCAGAGCCAGGAGCGCCGGAGATGAGCACTGCCAGAGAAGGTTCCTAGAGATCCCACAACCCCTTCATCTCAGGAATATTCCTTAACCATATTAGGATCCCGAGTATGACTTAAGGAAGATTCCTTAACTAAGGGTTTGGGAGTCTCTGGGTTTCTTATGCGCTGTGCCGGAACCAGGCGATCTACGACAGCAGGATCGCCACACTCACCCTGCAAGCTATGGTCGGCTCAAAAGCTGCTTCCATGCATGGGCTCCGGTTACTTAAACAACCTGTTATATGATGCATGGTTTGTAATCCTTTTCCCCCTAAGGGGGGAGGGGCCCTCCCTCCCCAATAGATACTGAGAAAGTGTTTTTATTATGTGAGGGGGTATGTGTTATGTCTACTGCCACTTTTGAGGGGACATGCTCTGGCTCCCGCTCTGGCTTTTGCTCTTGCTTCTGCTGCGTCTCTTGCCCCCGCTCCTGCTCTTGCTGTTGCTCCCGCTTTTGCTCCTGCTCTCGCTCTTACTCCCTTTTTGCTCTGCTCTTGCTGTTGTGCTCCGGCTTTTGCTCTTGCTCCTGCTCCTGCTCTTGCTCTTACTGTGCTCTAAGGGTATTTGGCGCCTCGAATCCCTCCCCCCTAATTCAGAATAGGTTTTAAAGGGCAGGGATGGTTTCGGAAGGATTGGGCCCACTATGTTATTATTATTACTATGATGATGATGATGATGATAATGATGATTATTATTAGGGGGTGTTTAATAAAAGGGGAGGCGATTAGCCTATTGCTTAAGTAACTGGAGCCCCAGGGGGCATGCAAAGATAGCATGTGTTCAGAAGTATTCTTCGATATGCTTCGACTGACTGAGGTTGAAGAGAAGTTCGACTTGACTTCCGAAGACATCGAG